ACAGTCCTCTTTTTATTATAAGTAGAATGACAACGTGTATTGTGAAGTCCTAAATAAGTTAAGATACGTACATGCAGGATTTCATATGCAAAATATTGTTTTTTATGAGCCGCTCATGTAACAATCACCCTCCAAATCTTTAAAACAAACATTTGGTGTTGATATCAATGAAAGCAAAAACTATGATAATGAGATATGATGTTCATTTCAATTTTTCAGGCCTTCTGCTTATATGTGATAGTGACATGCATTAATAATAGCTTGTTGTCAGATCAGAAAAAGAGAGAAAGCAAACAACATAAAATAGCACATAATCTTCATGCCTATTTTTGTTTCGATGAGATACGACTCTACTTGGGCAACAACATACTAAATTGCTTACTTATGACGATTAGTAACTAATACCAAGTGTGCAACCAGAAGCTATGCTTGAATTCAGCAATGTAGGTTAGAAATGTTATGGAGTGTATACAAGTAGACATCAATTATTACCTAACAGTCGTTTAAATCAAAACATCATTTCGTATTTGTCCTTCTTTCATACATCAAAATAAATCCTGTTTAGCAGGCTAAGAATTAAAAATAAATTTGTTAACTTGATATGCTCGTAGGGTGTGGGTGTGGGTGTGAATGTGATTGTAGGTGTGGGTGGAAATATGGATTTGGGTGTGGAATGTGGGGGTGGGCGGATAGAATAATTACACGCAAACCCACACACCCGCACCATATGTAAATGCGATTTTGTACTAATTAGGAAAAATATTTTTTCTCTCCAATACCAATCAAATTACGACTGATGATATGCAGCTTATTTGGTACCGTTTCATGTTAATATATATAGTCTAACAAGTATAATTTATTGTTGCATACTCTGTTTCATGACTTATATTTACTACAGCTTTGGCTAAAGTTTTGATAAATGCAGAACGAGAATTTATATCCAATCTGATCCTCTCCAATCTTATTCTGTTAGCATATGGAATAGAGTATCAACGTCTCTGTTCGTATACGACATATTGGAATAATATAAAACACTCTTCTAGAATTAGTTATTCTTTTCATAAACGAGAGTATTCAGGCAGAAAAAAAAATGACAAAAAGAAGGTAGCAAAGCAGGAAAAAGCTCAATCGACCAATGAATGATTCAAATAAGTGTGCTGCTTTATTTCTTCCCCTCAAAGCTTTCACTGCTTGACTTTTACTGATTTTTTCTTTCACCAATTTATGTATTCAACCGAAAGAAATCATCCTTTATTTCACAACCAAAAGGAGATGTGACCACCTTTTTTTCTTTAGAAAGCCTTGAAAAGAAGTAAAGAACCATGAATAGATTAAAAGATCACGATAAATTCTAAGTATCCAGAAAACGATTGTTTTTGATCGAGATGTTTTTTGAATCACATTTATCTTCTTTTCCGGAATGTGATTCTCGTCAATAGGAATATATCTGAAAACTCATTTTGATTTCAAATATAACGTTGAAGATTAATGAAAGGGTCGATTATGAACTGCTTTAATATCGGATCATTGCAAGAGTGGGGTTTGTATTCTATTGTGTACATGAATTACAGAAGTATCCATTTTACCAAGTTGCTTG